ATGGCAGCAATAGCTAAAAATCGTCTGCTACTTCCTTTAAACTACTTCAGTGTGGCCGAGGTTGCAAACCAACTCTAATTACAATAACCATGGCTCAGTAGATGAGTGGTTCTCAGTCACCTACTGGGAGCAACACACCAGGGGCCAATCCACACATCTTTCACATCAGGGAATGTGAAACAACAGAAGGACTGTCAGCTCAAGTGAAACATGCTTTCTCTGCTTCAAGGCAAGGCAACATTTTCAGTTTAAAGTACCACAATTGAATTTTTTTAGTCCATTGTAATGAGTGACATTAACCGCACTTAGTTTGCATTAACTCATTTAAAATTGAGTGGGGTAATCTATCTGATCTTCTTTTTTCTTATTTGATCATTTTTCAGTCTGTTGCCAGGTTCAGTAGATGTTTGAAAATTTTTTTCCCTCAGACATTCATTTTGAGCACATTCCCTGTAACAAATCACAATTTCTTTTATAAAGAACAAAAGTGAGATGGGTTCATATTTGAAAAGTTTGTTTAGTATTTAAAGTGTTTAAGCAATCATGACAAAGTAAATTTAGTATGCATAGCGTGTTTTGCAAAGTAAATTTTGAGCTCTGTGTGGAGAGAAGGTAGTTATCAGGCAGAGTGGACATATAATTCAGTTTGGTAAAAGTTTGAAATTCCATTTATTGATGATAAACATGGTCAAATATTAAGTTTGTGAGGTTTGCACAACCTTTGGTGACTGATGCTAAAATGAATGAACCTTGTTCCCTATAAGGGACCTAGATACCATCCGTGTTCCAGTCCTGATGCAAATCTTAAGTAGAGCTTTATGTAAACAGGATATCAGTGGATGGCTGACAGAACTGTGATTGGGATTAAAATGAATGCTGCAGACACTTTAAATAAAGGAAGAAAGCCAGAATCTATTCTCTCTGTTGCTGTAGTAATCACGGTCACAAAAAGCCTTACACATTGCCGTTATGGTAGCTGGTGTTTCTCACTGCTTGGAACCCTAGATTTTGCAGATCATTGCGGAAAATCTCTCAGATTGATGACTGTGGTTCAGAAAAGTAGCAGGCCAGTCTGAGGACAGGTTTTCCCACCAAAATGCCTGTTATAGGTGACATTACTTTTCCAATCAGCAATGAATTCAACAGGCTCAGAATTGGAAAGTTGTGGTCCATCATACTCTATGTGTAGTTGTACACATATAATGTTTCTATGTGTTCTGAATTAGAATCGATATCCATTGTTCACTGCTGTAATGCTAACTGGACTCCCCAGCGTTACGTCATTTCCAGTGTCTTTTCCGGTTTAGACCCGGAAGTAACATTTTCTTACAAAAAAACACAAAAAGCCTAAATAGTCAATATAATCTTCAAGATCTATTTCAATGTCTATGCATAAAAAAGACAGAAAAAAATGTAATAAGTCAAAGCCTATAAAAGTTGCATTCTTTATCAATTATTTTCACCAGACGATCAGAATAAATACCTTGAGTTTGATGCTGTCAAATCATCACCCACTTCAAAGAGATGAAAGCCTGCAATAAAAAACAAAATGAGATGTAAAAACAACAGATTTCTGTTTGTTTCAGGCTGAACAACACAGGATGGGGTTCCCAGAATTGTGGGTAAAGGTGTTCACAATAAAGCAAAAATAAGAAAGAAAGAAAAATGCTGATTGGGGAGGATTGATTTTATTTATTTATTTATAGGAAAACACAAAACCAGAGTGCAGGCTAGACCACTCAGTTAAATATTTGGATTTTTTTGCTAACTTAAAATATAAGAACACATTACTTTAACATTACTAAGACTATCATTTTACTGTAGAAATTTCTTTTTTTTCTTTTTTTTACATTGTACCTGAATATGTTTTATTGTTCTAAAAAAATTACACACTTGTTGCTATTTTAGGTATATATAAAAAATATATATACTGTTTATGTGGATTGTGTTTTCCAGTGTTGCCTAAAAGCCCCAGGGATATTTTCACCAACCTTACAAATTAGGGGATGTTTTTAAAAACCTTTACAAATTACCCTAAAATAGAACACCTTGTTGATAAAGAGTGTTGGGATTGATTTAGTCTATACTGAAATCCCCTAAACACCATTAATCAGCTCTATCCCACGTAATTCATCAAGAAAACAAAGTAAAAGTCAAAGCTGACTTAATTCGTCTTTATTGAGCTTTGAGATGTGAACAACAGAAAGGAACATAGGATGAATGGTGAGGAAGCAAATGTTTGTTTTTCCAGAAAAATAAGCAAACCACATCGAATGGCCCTACCACTTGCTTAATAACTACTTGCATTGTCAGGCAATCTTTTACCATTACAAATGTGGCTTGATAACCTTGATGTGGAAGCTGTGTGTGATCAAGCATCAGTTAAGCATGTTATACCCTGGGTTAAGTTAAACATAAATCACAGATCTCCTCATTTTTCTTGATGTCCTGCCGATAGTTTCCAAAAGTTACCTCTTGGAAACTACTGCGGGATGAAAGCTGCTGCTGTTTGCTAGTAAAAGCCCATTCGAAATGTGTGGGACTTTGGTGTAACATGTGTTTTGCAAAATACTATACGAATAAAACTCACATTTCAATCAAAAGAAATGTAAACTTTTCTTTAATCATTTATTTGGGGATTTTTTTTCTCCTAAACCTGCAAGCTGCTCTTATGGCTGAGAGTAAAGTAGGCAATCTTTTTTTAAACTCTGTTCAAACAATTGATTGAAGTGTGAAGAAGCTCATTCTAGATGCTAGATTAGATCAAAGCATTTTGTTCACAGTTTACAGGATAACCCCTAACCCCTCTGTACACACATGTCACATGTTTATACCATGGACTGTTTCCCTCACACACACATCCACAGATCCAACACTACTTAGATGTACTTCTCGACTATAGCTGTATATAATCTGCATATATTTTATTTGCTATTATCTGTCATTATTTATCCTGTTTTATAACCCCACTTATATAAATATAATCCGTATTCTGATCTTCCTGTATTATCTTTATATAGTTTTATAGCCTCTTACAATTACTCTCTCTTTATACATACTGCTTACAGTTAACACATACTGTATATAGTCTCTGTGAACATGTAAATAAATATTTATATACTGTATAGCACTTCTGGATAGATGCAAAGTACATTTTGCACTTTTTGTGTAACTCGTTCCATTTGAAATATCAATGCAATGCTCATAAGCTGTATGTAACGCAATTTCGTTCTGTATGCACTCTGTGCATACAAAATGACAAATAAAGAAGTCTAAGTCTCTAAATTTTATTGCTTTGCAATTGTGACAGTGTAATGAAAATTAAGCTGAATTCTATTCTATGTCAAACTGTTATTTTAATCAATGGATATTTTAAGGTAAAAAAAAAATATCTCTGGTGGTTAGTTCAAAATGTGGGAAAAAAACAAAACACTTTGCCAGGCATGAAATTATGACCATTGGGTCATGTGAAATGATTAACATTATCTATCTCTAATAGCAACTGGTAGCAGGTGTAATATACTAAGAAGAAAGTTAATATTTTATAATTAAAGGTCATACAACACTGTCAGGAATCCAGTTTGTGTGGGCTGTTTTGTGTGTTTTTTTTCTCCACCACCAGGTGGCGCCTGGTTCTCCGTGGCCCTCTCACACACCTGCGGAGGTTGCCTCATTACCTGAGGACTCTTAAGCTGCTGACTGCCACTACCTCGGGGCCAGAGTGTTTTCCAGTTTTGGGTACTCTAGCCAAGGTGAAATTTGCTGAGTCAAACTGAGTTTTTGTCAACCTGAGTCTTAACCTTGTTGTTTTTTGTCCTTGCCTCTCGGCAGGAAGTCATCCTGCAAACTGGATGTTTTGGTCCTTCTCCCCCAGGAAGGATCGTCTGAGCTTCAAACTGAGCTGGGGATTCAAACAGGAGGTTTGGATCTACTTTTCCCCTAAGGATTGTTTGAGCTTCACACTGAACAGGGGATTAATCTCCATAAGAAACCATTCATGTACCATAGGAAATCTAAGTGGCAGTCAGCTCCTCCGTTCCTGAAGGAAACACCTCAACCTGGGTAAACCCTGTCCGCCCTCCAACGAGCAAGTCAATTACTGGAACAACCCACACCTACTGGATTCAGAGAAAGACA